AGCAATTGATTATTTTAACTATAGGGCTATCGTACTATACAAAATTGCCTTTTTTTCTTCTTCTTCTTCTTCTTTTTTACTTGGTTATTTTTCAGCTCCACTCATACCAATGGAGGCTCGGAGGCTGATCGTCGGAGAAGAAAGTGCTGCAACATTCCTCGCCGGAAAAATTGTGCTCCTCAATCTTCACGAACTGCAGTTGATTATGTTGGTGTTGAAACTGAAAATAATCTAGAATCATATTATTATTGTTGTTGTTGTTCGAATCGAGATGATGGGGGCTGCTGCTGCTGTTGCTGTTGCGATTATTGTTGTTGATGTTATCATCGTTCCAGATGGCGCTCGAATTATCGCTGTCCGAAGAGCCGTCTTTCAAATCACCAAAACCCAACAGCTCACCGTGACCCGAAATTAGCAGGCCGTCGCCATTTGTATCATCTTCGAGATTTTCCGAGCCCGATTCCTTGTCGGGCTCGGGAATGGCAATCGGAGATTGCAGGTTCTTGTTTTCGTCGTCTTTCTCCGACTTACTGCTGTTACCGTCCCCGTTTATCTTCGATTTCAGCTCTTCAATCTGCAGATTTTAAAATTTAGTAACCAAAAATTTTAATAAAACAGAAAAAAATTCAGTAAAACAGAAAATCGACCTCTTTGATTAAAGCTTCGTTATCACGCTGAAGCTTGTGGAAATCGAGGTTGAGCCCATCGTAATCAGCCTTGAGCAGGCCGTAATCCCTCTCGAGCTGCTTGGTCTTCCACCGCGCACGGCGGTTCTGGAACCAGACCGCCACCTGGCGCGGCTGCAACCCGAGCTCATGAGCCAGCTTCACTTTCCTATCAGGCTCAAGCTTGTTCTCCACCTCGAAGTGCTTCTCGAGGGCCTTCACCTGGTAAACGGTCAGCCTCCTCTTCTTTTCCGAACCCGCCATCTGGCCCGATTCCTCGTCGTACTCCGCCACCATTGCCTGACCGTACGAGAACACGGGATTGTTATTCCCCTGTACCTCGTCTGCCATTTTTGACGAATTAAAAATATTTAATTATTATTTTTTTTTCCTATTTATTGTATTTGAGAGGCAAAAGGCAAGCACCTGTTGAATTGGGACAGATGGACATGAAAACAGTCAAGGAATCTGAGCTGCCATGTCTCTTCATCCTTTCTCCTCGATTATTCAGCAAACCGACACCGTATTGTATTAAAACTTACCGATCTCTCAGATCTCTCCTTCAAAAACCCACCAGCTTTGAAGAAGAAATTTTGAAAAGAGTATGAGTGAGAAAGGTGAAACAATGTTTTTTTTTTTTTTT